AGGAAAGGGAAGGGAAGAAGGGAAGGGAAGGGAAGAAGGGAAGGGAAGGATGACAGGGAGGGCAGGGAAAGATGTCAGGGAAGGGAAGGGAAGGGAAGGATGTCTGCGAAGGGAAAGATGTCTGCCCATGGGTTGTGAGCTGATACTTTACATATGGGGGCTTTAGGGTGTGGAAGGGGGGGATGTTTGGGGGAGAAATCAGGGAGGGGGCTGCAGGTAGGGTTAGGGTGGGGGAGTGGTTTCTTTTTCCTCTTGAGATAAGAGGAAATCTGCTTATCTTATCTTTGGAGGTCAGAGGAAAGGCAGGCTGCTTCTCAGCAGAGTTTGTAGGTCCCTGTTGGGGAGGGGGGGGGAGCTGCTATTTGGAACCCTAACACCTTCACATATTGTTACTGTAGGTAATTTTGTCTCTTAATTAAAGTAAGACACCATATGTCCATAGTTTTCGCCTGTACTGAAACAGGGAAAGAGTGTCCTCTAGAGGTTCTTAGTCTCATTCATAAAAGAATTGAAGAATGGACCCAGACTGCAGAAAGTGGACAGACTTAACAGAGACCTGCATGACTGTGGCTGGTCCGAAGTTCTGCGGAGTTCTGCCTTACAAGGCCAGATTCCAGACAGGAAAAACTCCCAGCCTCATTAGCACACCAGGTATCCCACCCATCTATTTAGTATAACTTAAGGTGAACCTGCCTTCCTAGGGGTGGTTCTATCACCAGGTGATTGACCAGTGAGATTGGAAAGGTGGGGTCCTCCAACAGATAGACTAAGGATTTTATAGTCTTGACCACGTTTTGAGACAGGGTCTCCCTGTAGCCCCAGCTAGCCTGGAACTCACTTTGTAGACCAGGCTGGCCTCGAACTCAAGAGATGCGCTTGCCTCTGCCTCCCAAGTGCTGGGATTAAAGGCTGTGCCACCATAACCGGTTAAGGGATTTTATAGTCTTGACCACTTAAACTTTTGGGGCTTTTTGCTCCTCTAACATTTCCCACTCTGAAGAGGTAACCCTAAAATCTTTTAGGAATTAGGTAAGAGCTCCCCAATACTTTTGACATTTTTGGCCTTTGGAACAGAGTATGATGCTAAGAGGCCCAAGGACATAGCGAGTTTTAGCCAAGAAACTGGCTACTTTTCTTAAAGGTCTTTTTACCCTAACTGCCTAGCCAATTCCTACCTCCTTTTCTTATCACACCATCCTCTGAAAAGGTTACCCAAATAACCAATAGGGAATGGGGAGGCAGATTGCTCTGGTTTCTTCCATGCTGAACAGGGATGCAGGGTGAGGCAATTGGGGTACCCCTTCAGTGCATATGTCTTTTTTTGACTGAGACAAGAAAGATTTACAAAAGCTGATGGGATAAGAGACTCAATATGATTCCAGCAACTACATACTGTCAACTTTAGAAAATATATACTTGGAGATTGAGAATTCAAGGGCTTATATCTTAAAATCATCCATGCCTGGGCTGGTGGGATGGCCTAGCATGGAAAGGCTCCTGCCTCTAAGCCTGAGTACCCGAGTCTGAGTCTCAGGACCTGCATGGCTGAAGAGAGAGCGGACTCCTGGAAGTTGTCCTCTGACCTCTACATGAGTGCTGTCACACGCACTAAATTAGTTACTTTAAAATTTAAAAATTGCTGGGTGTGGTGGCACACGCCTTTAATCCCAGCACTCAGGAGGCAGAGGCAGGCGGATTTCTGTGAGTTCAAGGCCAGCCTGATCTCTACATAGTGAGTTCTGGGTCAGCTGGGGCTACAGGGAGACCCTGTCTCAAAAAGA